CTTTCTGTGCTAGCCATTTGCTTTCAACATTTGCTCTGTGATGCTGTTCAGCTGATTTGACTCTTCTGTTGACAAGGCTGTGCAATGATTGTCAGTTAACTTGTGAACTCATCATTAACTCTTGTGACCTCATTACTGAACGCTACATTAGTTGAACTAGTTCTAAATGGTCACAATTTTATCTTAATCGAAGAATGGTTTGCCTTGCTTTCCTGCAGTATTAAAGTCCACAATTATGTAAACTATATTATTTAATTGATAGTGTTGATAGCCTTTATTAAACATATCACTTTATAATCCTTTAGAATCAACTGTGTCAGTTGAAGATCAGAGGAACAGTGAGGGTCTGGTGGCTGCGGGAGGTAATAACAGAGAATATCTTGAGTTGGCAAAGAAGGGTGGAGGCCATGAAGGTAACTGCTGATAATGTCTCTATATGTCAGGAGTTTTGAAAATGAAAACAAGCGTTTTGAAATGCGTCAACAGCAAATATTATTAATCCATTCTCTGGAATAGCAAAATCTATTTCATGAATTAATGGTACTCGCTCTTAATGTCAAACAAAATATGCAATCATGTAATTCCCAGGGTCCCTCTTAATCTTCATAGGGCAGGAAGAAGGTACTAGAGCTGGGAGCAAGGGTCCAGTACCTAACCAATGAATCCACTTTCTTTCTGACAGATCTATTGACAATAGAGCCCCACACACCCACCCCTGAACCGGTCAAATATGACAAGACAGATGGACAGTGGTACACTCATGATGGAGTGGATGTCAAAGAAACACAACAGAGAAGAGGTATCTCCTGCAGTTTGACATCAAGTCTTGGGTCATTTTGCTAACAGCATTTTCAAAGTGTTTCATTTGACTACAAATGCTGTAGCAGTAGCCCTTAATTGTGGCAAAAGCAAATTTGCTATATAGCAGTTAATAATCAACTAAGTGATAATTAATTGGATCAAATGAGTTCATTGCAATCAGTGAATGTTCCAGATCAGTACAGATTTACAGCAGTATGTTCTGTTTTGTTCAGATCTGTCCGTGACTCTTGAAAGCATTCCAGAAGATTTGTCAGCAGCTGGAGAAATCAATGGGGAATATCTTAAAATGGCAAAGAAAGGAGGGCGCAAAGGTACATATTGTGTTAATAGTCATCACTCAGAAAATAAAAAAATTACAATTTCTGTTTCTTTAGCATTACATGAATTGTATTAAAAAATGACCTATTAAATGGTTAACTCACCTGACCCCTGGGCCAGGGTTCAAACCCTCAATGGGGTAACAGTACTGTGCTCTTGAGCAAGACCCTATACTCTTACAATCATCATGGTGCATAAATGAGTGTATAATTACTGTATGTACATGTATGCTGGTAAATTCTATGTTGGAGAGTAATATACATGAAACCCTGTAATTGCATGAATAGCAACCCATTGAGGTGATATAAAAATACTTACACTTGTAGTCTGAGGTTCTGAGGTGTACTGTTGCAAAAGTTTGGCCTTTTGCATTACTTTGCCTCCATTCATAATGCATGTTTGAGGGAATGTAAGGGGAGCTAATGGTAGTTTATCTGAATGATAGCAACTTCCAGGCTGGGATAAGTCTTAGTGGTGTTTTACGATACACTTAAGTATTTAGTTTTTAAGATTTCAGAGGAAGGGTACATTTTGCTTATAGCTTTCCATTATGTTGTTAGATTTGTTGGCAATAGAACCTCACACCCCTACCCCTGAACCAGTGAGATACGACAAGAAGGATGGGCAGTGGTACACTCATGATGGAGTGGATGTCAAAGATACACAACAGAGAAAAGGTATAGAATTGTTGCTAGAAGTAGCAGGAGCTGTAGTGGTAGTAGTAGCAGAAATAGTAAAGTAGATAGCAGAACACTTCACTTGTTTTAGTGTTGTCCATACCAGTTGGTTCTGTTAATTAAAAAAATAATGTAAAACATCAAGTAGAACTCTTGTTGTACAGTGTGTGTACTGTGTAGGTCTTGACTACATGAAAACATTTTCCATGTCAATATTAACATAACTAGCTGGTCAAGATTACATGTTGTAATAGTTGAACTACTTTAATGGCATGTATGATGAGGATAAGGCCAGCTGATCTCACCCACATCCATTTCTTACCCATGTTGCCTCTTTGCCACTTCAGTTCTGTTGATAATTACATTTTGTACTGTTAAAAGTTAGAATTAGAGCCTCCTTACACTTTACATCATTATTGTAGTAAAAAGATATATTTTTTAATAAAATGATTTAAATTTAACTTCCTTAGAAATGGTAACAGTTGTCAGTAGTCCTCGCTCACCAAACCTGGACACAACAAAGGAAGTTGAGACAGAAACAGATTACCTTAAGATTGCCAAGAAAGGTGGAGGGCACAAAGGTTAGGCCATAAAAATAATAACAATAATAGTTTTATTAAAAATTAATATGTACTAAGTGTGTGCCGTAAGCCTGTTGCTATTTACTTTGTTCGTACAATGTAGGAGTATGAAAGAAGTAACACATATGCCAGTTAGGGACCCTTGCACTGTAGGTTAGTTATGTTACTAACAGGAGTATTGTGTGACAGATCTGTTAACCATTGAACCTCACTCACCCACCCCTGAACCAGTAAAATACAATAAGGAGGATGGACAGTGGTACACTCATGATGGAGTTGATGTCAAAGACACACAACAAAGAAAAGGTGAGTTTAATGACTCTGAGAAGTTAACCATCCTTCTTGTACATGTACTATACAGTGTTCTCCTTAAGCAGCAGTGCCCAGCCAAAATCGCCATCTACCTGGCAGTCCTGGGCATGAGGGCCA